TATCCCACGACAGCATATGTCTATCTTTTATGGTTGACTCACAATAACACGTTTAACTCCCGATAGCTTAGCAGTTCGGAGCTTTCTGATTATATTTGTCTATTCTTACGTTTATAACACTCTCACTCATCCCTAATTAATAAAAGTTAACATTATTATCTATTCAATAAAAAAGAATCATAGACCTATATATGTATGGAAACACCAAAGTTATACACGAAATACGCTAATAAGCCATCGCGCGTGAATACTGAATCACGCTATAATGATTATTTTTGTGTAACGATCGCTGCGCTCGACGCGGCTCGCGGCGGGAGGTATAAAAAGGCGGGGGGTCCGAGTTCCGAGTGCCCAGCTCGATCGAGGATTTCCGAAAACTCACCAGGCTTTTCACAGCCGAACGAGTCTCCTACCACACTTATGCTCTCCCGGAAGAGCGTAAAGTCAGGGCCGTCATCCGAGGCGTCCCTTTCGAGTTCTCTAACGAGGAAATCCTTGAGGACCTTAAGTCCCAAGGCTCCCGTCGAAGCCGTGCACAAAATGCACAGTAGGACGGGCAAAAGATTCAACTTGGCCCTAATCATCCTCTCCAACGTGCCGGAGGCTACAGCCATCTTCCGGCAGGTACGCACAGTGTGCGGCCTGTCGAGGGTGAAGGTCGAGCCCCCACATAGGCGCGGGTTCCCCCACATAGGCGCGGTTTCCCGGCGCAGTGCCACCGCTGCCAACTTTATGGTCACGCGGCGGCCAACTGCTCCGCCCCACCCAGGTGCGTAAAGTGACTCGGCTAACTACAGAGGTTGCCCACGCGCACCTCAACCTCGCCCCAGTAGGCAAGCTCTACCGCCGGTAAATGACCGCTCATTCCCGGCCCTCCAACGACGGCCCCGTCAGGGCCTTTCTCAGCCCATCCAGGGCTCCTCTCGACCCTCTCAGGGTCCCCCTAGGCCCCCTCAGGGCATAATTCGGCCCCCCTCCGGGCTTCTCTAAGCCTATGCAGCCTCCAGTCTTTCCCTGGGGGCCCAAAAAGGCAGACCCACCGCGGATAAGCTCCTACTCCCATGAAGCGGAGCCCACACCCGACGACTACAACACACTATATTCCGCTATTAGGAATATTGACGTTAGGGAAATCACCGTTGTAGCACGCAAACTGCGCGCGGCGAAGTCCCCCCAGGAACGTCTCCTCGTTCTTGCAGAACATAACAATCTTTTGTTAGCGTTGTAAGTTAAGTTAACTTAATTAACTTAACTTCAATGTCAGTGCAAATTACTTTAACAAAATCCCACGGTCGTATTAAACCTAAGGGTTTATCGCTTGTATCATTTAATATTCGCGGCTTGCGAAATAACCTCCCAGAGCTTAAGCTCTTTCTTCGGAATCGTGAAGTTGATTTCCTCCTCCTACAGGAAACTAATCTCAAAGCTAAGGCCACTAGAGGCCTTTCTATTAAAAACTTCTCTCTTCTTCGTAACGACAGACCCGACCGCCGAGGCGGCGGAACGGCCATCTATTACAAGAAGACACTTCATTGCTCGCCCATTTCTACTCCGCAGCTTACCAACATGGAAGCCACGGTATGCAGGCTAGCTATGACTGGACATCAGTCCATCCTCATAGCCTCCTGTTACATCCCTTCGGGAACCTATCCGCTCAAAAAAGATTTTGAGGCCATTTTATCTTTAGGCAATTCAGTCATTATGTTTGGAGATTTTAACTCCAAGCATACTGAATGGACATGCCGCACTACGTCCCCTAGTGGCAAGATACTGCTCGATATCACGCAGTCTCTTGATATTACCGTCCATAGTCCTCTCGGTGTTACTCACTTTCCCGATAACACCGATCACGCCCCCGATGTGTTAGATTTTGCGTTACTCCAAGGAGTTTCTCTCAACCTCAGAGCAATCGAGACACTAGACGATCTAGGATCAGATCACCGACCGGTCTCCCTCATTCTTGGCCATCAGCCACCTCCCCCAACACACACGAAAACCTTCACTAACTGGAAGGGATTCAAGGAATCCCTAGATAAAGCTCTGGACTCACAGGACTCTACCATCTCCCTACCGTCGGACTTAGATAGTCCCGAAAACATCGACACCGCGGTCGATTCACTCTCCACCCTTATTAAATCCTCCCTTAAGGAGAACGAAAGGGTCGTCCCGGTTGCTAACAATAGTGGGCTTCCCCTACATATTAGCAACCTATTAAAAGCCAAAAAAGCTGCTTTCCGGAGAGCAGCAAAATATCCCACCCCCGAATATAGGCGCGCGGCCAATCGTCTTCAACGAGAACTCCGCTTCCGCCTCTCTGAATTTCGAGACCTCGAAAAGAGTAAGCTCATGGAGAATATCTCTCCATCTCACACAGCGTACTATCAGATGGCTAGAGCCCTCCGCATAGACGCTATCACCCACACTCCCCCTCTCTCCCGTCCCGACGGCACGGTTGCCTTCGAGGACGAGGAAAAGGCTGAGTGCTTTGCTGATAGCATTGCCGCTCAATGCTCTCCTAGTTCTCATCCCGTCGACCCCTCTCACGTTCAGGCAGTGGAGGATGAGGTCCGCCGCCGGAACTCACCCCCTACGGCCTCCGAACCTATCTCTGTGTCCAATGATGAGATTTCATCCCTCATCAAAGGACTTAAGCCCAAAAAGGCTCCGGGCGCGGATGGCATCTCCAACTAAGCCCTAAAACACTTTCCTGAGCAGATGTTACCCTTTTTATCTATTATCTTCAACGCCTGCTTCAATCTTAGTTATTTCCCCACTACGTGGAAAGAGGCAACTGTGATTGGAATTCCCAAGCCAGGCAAGCCTCTCAACCTCCCCCTCCAGTCATCGCCCCATTAGCCTCCTCAAGGCAATGGGCAAGCTCTTCGAAAGAGTCATCCAAACGCGTATGAGGCGCTATCTGTTTCCCACAGACGGCGACCCTCTTATCATTCCCCATCAATTCGGTTTCCGAGCCAAACACTCATGTCCCCAACAAGTTCACCGCATTGTGGAATATATCCTCAGCGGTTTCTATCCTCGTCGTCATAAGACCATCGCGGTCTTTTTCGATATAGCTAAAGCTTTCGATAGAGTCTGGCACACAGGCCTCATCTACAAGCTCTACAAAATAGGTCTCCCCGATCGTCTAGTTCGTCTCGTGGCCTCCTATTTAAAACATCGTACCTTTCGTTTTAGACACGAAGGTATCTTCACAGCGAACTATCAAGGCTGGTGTCCATCAGGGCTCAGTACTTGCTCCTCTGCTGTACATCCTGTTCACCAACGACATTCCCATCCCGTCGAAAGGTGGTCAACTCTCCCTCTTCGCAGACGACACTGCCATCTACTGCAAAGGTGTCTCACTACCCTTCATACGGAACAAGATCCAAAAGTCAGTTGATGACCTAGGAGCTTGGTTCAAAAAATGGCGCATCGATGTGAACCCGGAGAAGAGCTCCGCCGTTCACTTCGATTATAAACGACGCCGTCTCAAAAACACTCCACCAATACGTATGCTAGGGACCCCTGTCCCCTGGCATACGTCCGCCAAATATTTAGGTGTCACTCTAGACACAGGGCTCACTTTCAGGCCCCACGTCAAAAGAGTAACCCGTTACGCACGGTTTTATCTGAGTAGACTCAACAGTATGTTGGGCCGACACAGTAAAATGTCCCTTCGAAACAAGCGTACCCTTTACAAGGTCTGTATACGACCAGTCATGTCCTACGCGGGCCCCGTCTTTGCCCACGCAAACCCTAATATTATAAATGAACTCCAAATAGTTCAGAACCTCTTCTGTCGTCGAGCTGCGAACGCACCTTGGTACGTCCGTAATGCCGACCTTCATCGGGACTTAGAGCTCCCAACAATTCAACAATTTCTTAAAAAACTCTCTCAGAACTTCTTCAAGGCCTCAGAGTCGCACCCAAACCAATTAATTCGTGAGGCAGCTTCTTATGCAGCCCCAACCCCCAATGTCCCCCTCTCGCTATCGTGTCCGCAGGCCGAGAAACTCTCTCTAGGACCCGCCTAATAAACTGTCAAACGACCTGAACTGTCTCCTGGCGGCTCAGGCCAACTCTAATTAAATTAAATTATTGTATTAACTAACATTAATTTGCCTTCGTAGGCACTCCCTCAGCGGCTCTTAGCCGCCTGCGCCCTCTTTTCCCAAAAGAGGGTCGCTCATGATAAGGCACAATACAGCTTAATCAGCCGGCTGCCTGTCCCCAAAGGCGGTTTTTAGAGGGTATCACTTAGGGTCCCCGGTAGGACAGTGAGCCCCTCATAACCACGATAGACCGGCTATCGTGGTATGCGTAATGCATTTTCCGCCTCCCTACGTATAGGGTAGCCCTTTAATTGCTTCGGGCGCAAAAAAAAAAGTTCCGAGTGCGAGCTTCATACAATATTTGGCTGTTGATGCGAATAGATGTTCAGAGTGTTCGACCTTATTGACAGACAATAATTGATTTTAACAAACCGTGCTTATCAGCGCGACTTTTAGTCTACTCTTACGTTTAATAATTTATTTTTAGATTTCTTTGGTTGTTATTTTATAAAATAGATATTAGTTATTTTAGTAGTGTTTAAATATTTCTAAGTATTAGCTTAATTATAAATTAAACTTTTTTTATTTAGCTGTAGTTTTAAATAGGTACCTAGGTATCAAATAGGTTATTTAATTCTACGAGTATTAGACGTAGTTTAGGTACCTACTTATATATTTTTAAGAATTTAATTTTAGATTTAAGGATTTATTTAGGATCCGTTTTATTATTTAAGTAGGCATTTAGATTTTTTTAAGTGTATGGTAGCTATAGTTAGGACCTCTAACGTAGATTATTTTGTTAGGCAACTGAATGCCGTCGATTAAAAATAAAATACACAATGCCACCTAAAAAACGATTATCTTTATCTCAAATTCGAGAGAAGCTAAGGAATGAGAAATGTGCGTTCTCAAGAATCGGCAGAGGAAAGAGCACATCGGTTAAACTCTATGACAGTTAGTGCCTCAACTTCTCGAGCCAATGAAAGCTCTCCAGAAAGAGAGATGCGACTAGCAGCTGACAGAGTGAGACGAGCTACATCACGGGCGTCTCAAAGTTCTTCTCAACGAGAGCTAAGGCTTACCATTGACCGAGAACAACATGTGTTATACCGAGAAGCTGAAACTGCTTCACAACGAGAATTGCGACTCACAGCTGACCGCGAACGGCATACATTATCTCGCGAGTCCGAAACCTACACTGAGAGGGAATTACGTCTCACAGCTGATCGCGAACGTCATATTTTATCTCGAGAATCTGAAACTTTTACTCAATATGAAGAACGTTTGACAAATGATAGGGTGCACCATAATATTATTCGATCTCTTGAAGATGAACATGAGCATGAACAACAACAAGAGTCGGGACTCGAATATTACAATTCTTTGAGACAAGAACGATTAATAAGTTTGTCTAATGAAAGATTAAGAATTGAAAATATTCGGTCTCTTGAAACGGACGAACAGCGAGAGGCCCGTCTTACTGCAGACAGATTTCGACATAGTCTTAATGACTTAGATGTACACATAGAAGATCAATCTACAAATTCGGTGGCGTGGTCCGACAAATATAAAAGTGGGTTTGCTTATAACCTCACAATTGATTACAGATTATCTTCTGTAATAGGCGATATGAACGTAGTATGTTCTTTTTGTAATGCTTCAAAGTGGAGTAAGGAGTCGGCTGGTTTCTGTTGTTCTGGAGGTAAAATAAATTTGCCTTCGTTCGAAGATCCACCGGCACCTTTGAAGTCACCACTTTTAGGGGAACATGTGCAATCTAAACAGTTCTTAGACAATATTCGCACTTATAATAGTGCGTTTCAAATGACATCCTTTGGTGCTCAACAAATCTCAGAAGGTCCTTTCATGCCTACTTTTAATTTTTAGATGCACCTGGAGGAACTGGGAAAACCTTTTTGACTAAATTAATATTAGCTTATGTTCGAAATCAGCGTAAAATTGCTCTTGCCGTGGCTTCATCAGGTATAGCTGCAACATTGCTACCAGGAGATAAAACTGCTCACACTATGTTTAAAATACCAATTGATGTAGATCGCACGGAAAGTCCAACCTGTACGAGTAGTATTTCAAGAAATAGCGACAAAGCTAAGTATTACGTGAGTGTAATTTAATCATATGGGATGAATGTACGATGGCCCACCGAAAAGTAGTAGAAGCGGTAGACAGAACTTTAAGGGATATAACACAAAATGATCGACCAAGAGGCGGTATCATGGTTTTATTTTGTGATGATTTCCGACAAACTTTACCGGTAATACCACGGGGAACCCGAGCTGATGAGGTTAGGGCTTGCCTAAAAAGCTCTTATTTGTGGCGTGACATACAACCGGTACATTTGACTATAAACATGTGAGTGAGAACTGGAGATAACCCGGATGATCGTCAATTTTCTGATAAATTATTGAAGATTGGTGAAGGTACCTATCCACAACTACGCCAAGAAAAACTTATTCTGACGCCTGAGTTGTGTTGTATAGTGCAATCCCAACCACATCTTATATCGTCGGTTTACGGTGGCGTAACAATTATATTAAATAGGGACAAGTCTTGGCTATGCGAAAGATCCATTTTAACTCCTCGCAATGACCAGGCATCTGAGATTAATAACAAAATACTGTCGAATATACAGGGAGAAAGCAAAGTTTATAGTTTAGAATGATCGATGAACAAGAAGCCACTAAATACCCGATAGAATTTTTAAATTCTTTAAATATGCCCGGACTTCCTTCTCATGAAATTTGTTTAAAAATTGGCATTCCGATTATTCTGCTCCGAAATTTAAGACCACCACAACTTTGCAATGGAACTCGCTAAAAGTAAACCAGTTGCAACAAAATATAATCGAGGCTCAAATTTTAACAGGTTGCGGTGCAGGAGAAACCGTCTTTAATCCCAGAATTCCCATAATACCAAATAATATTCCAATTTAAAAGAACGTAATTCCCAGTATCAGTGTGTTATGCAATGATAATTAATAAGGCTCAAGGGCAGACTTTTCGTGGTGCTGGAGTAGATCTTGGTGTCAGTTGTTTCTCGCAGGTTCAGTTGTACGTCGCTCTTTCCCGGGTTAGCAGTTCTAGAAATCTTTATGTTCATGTGCCGGACGGGTCAACTTTCAACATAGTTTACCCGGAAGCTTTGCGCTGAAGTATTTTTGTTCTATAAGTACTTAAGCCTCATGTGAACGTGATCTAAACAATATTACCAATATATTAACTTAATAACACACAAGGAGTTATACTCCATCCAAAGCCCAGCGACACTATAACATATATAGGAATGACGTCTTAGCAAAAGTTGTTTAGTCTGATGGGCATTACCTGTTGACTTACAAAAATGAAAGATCTAAAACGTCTCGAATCGTCTCGCGAATAACGTTGTTTTCCTGTACCCGGGCTCTTAGAATTCAACATCAGACATTTCAGATCTTCGATTTTGACGACCCCGTTGTCGCTGGCATAAGCAACAGGATCCGCGTACGAAGTCGCGGGCAGAAGCTAGTATTCAATAAGTTTTTTTGTGACCTATAGGTTACAATTTTGTTGGTGTTTAAATAGTACAGTAGTTTATTATAGGCTCTGTTAGACTCTGGCAAGTAAGTAGTGAGATTGTCCTGATAATTTAAAATGATTTGAAAAGAAACTAACAATTTAAAACTGACGATAATAACAAATAAATGTAAATGTTATACAGTACATATTTCAAAGCTTATATTTATGACAAAGTATATTATATTGATTAAAACTACTTTTACGGATTTTATCGCGTTTTATTTATTTTATTTTTAATACCCGACGTTTCGGGTGCTTTTCAGCACCCATGGTCAAGAGGGACTGAGGTGACTGACGTCCCGATGTCAAAGTTAACACGGAGTACCTTCAGATTTTTAATTTTTGTCTTTGGTCCGATCTACGCAGAATGAACTAACTGTGTTTTGAAGTCTTGCAGTGGTATGCTTGGGTTTAGTTTTAATTTTATTAATTATAGGGTCCGAAGCAGGTGGTAGTACCCAGCCTCCTTCTCTATTGAAATTAGGATGTTTTTTAATTTCAATAGCCTCACGTATCATCCTTAGTAGGAATCGATGTTCTTTCGCGAGGATTTGTGGTCTATCAAATCCGATGTAATGGTTGGGGCCATCTAGGATATGATCGCAAACTGCAGACTTCCCGGAGCGTTGATGCTTTATGTCAGCTATGTGTTCTTTTACGCGCGTTCTAATTGATCTGTTTGTTTGCTCTATATATGAGAGACCACAATCACAATCAAGCTTGTACACTCCTGCATCTTGTAGAGGAATATGACACTTGACGGATGGTAAGAACTGACTAATCTTCTTCGGCGGCTTGTAGAATTTTCTAATAGAAGCTCGCTTCAAGATGTAGCCAATCTTGTCTGTGACACCTCTGACATATGGTAGTACAGCAGGCACACGCTCGAATGTGGCCGGCTTCACTCGGTCACTGTGACGTAGGCGCGGGACCCGAAGCTTGTTGTCGTGCAGAACTTGCTTGACGTGCTGAAGCTCAGCGGCCAGGTGTTTGCTGTCACAGATCCCTCGTGCTCTCTGTAACAAAGATTTTCCCACGGTAGCTAACTGTGAAGGATGATGGTGAGATTCACCATTTAAATATCGGTTTGTATGGGTCTTTTTTCTATACACAGTATGACTTATGGTGTTGTTAGGATTTACAGTTAGGACTAACACATCTAGGAAAGCGAAGGAATTATTTGCCTCTAACTTCATAGTAAATTGAATTTTATAGTTTATGGAATTAAGATGTTCTAAAAATGCAGTTACTTTGTCTGATGGCAAAATTGTGAAAGTGTTGTCTACGTACCGCTTGTAGAACCTTGGGGTAACAGGCGCAGTAAGGAGGGCTTTCTCCTCAAAGTCTTCCATGAATATATCGGCGACAATGGGAGATACAGGTGAGCCCATCGCAACACTTTACTTGCTTGTAAAACTCTTCCTTCCACAATAGATATCGACGTATCCATTACAACCGTAGCATTACAACCGTAAATAAAGGAAATGCTACGGTTGTAATGGATACGTCGGATTACAATTTTAAAATACAACAACTTTTGTCGGATGAAAGTACATACCGTAAGGTACGGTACAGGTAAGGTAGAGACCCTACAACTAATACGCTTAAAACAACTAGCGATCTAATTAAGAAATACTCCGAGAAATTGAATCTAGACGTCAATTCGATGATACCTTCGTGTGCAAAACCTCCGAAGTTGTATGGGTCACCAAAAATACACAAACCTAACGCTCCATTACGTCCAATAGTGAGTCAGATCGATTCGCCAACTTACAGATTGGCTCAATACTTAGCCAAAATATTATCACCACTCAGAGGACACACAAGAGCACATCATACCATTTTGTCAGTGAGATAAAAGACTACGTATTACTGACAATGAAACCATGGTTAGTTTTGATGTATTTGAACAGACTGCTATTTACATGCCTACCTGTTGAAGACTGCATCTCAATTATAACTAGGAAACTGGATGAAAATAACATGCCACCAGAATATGCAGTAGTACTAAGACATTGCCTTACATCTGGCTATCTATTGTGGAAGGAAGAGTTTTACCAGCAGTAGATGATGTTGCGATGGGCTCACCCGTATCTCCCATTGCCGCCGGTATATTCATGGAAGACTTTGAGGAGAAAGCCCTCCTTACTGCGCCTGTTACCCCAAGGTTCTACAAGCGGTACGTAGACGATACTTTCACAATTTTACCATCAGACAAAGTAACTACATTTTTAGAACATTTTAATTCCATAAACTCTAAAATTCAATTTATTATGGAGTTAGAGGCAAATAATTCCTTAGCTTTCCTAGATGTGTTAGTCCTAACTGTAAATCTCACCCTGTCACTCAGATTCAGCCCTAACATGCTCCTTAACGACCAGATTTCTACTGCGTTTATTCTACTCTCGTGCTTCTTCTGCCACAAACAACGTTCACTACCGTACGTTAAAGTTTTAATGTTGTAGTAAGCATTAGGATATTTGTTTCACGTAAAACCAGAGTGTACAAGTGTTTGCTCCTGCTATTAATCTTTGAATACTAGAATCGTGGAACAACACGAGACACCGTCGGACCGGAGGGGAGTAACCAAAGCGTTTTTTGCATTTTGCGGACTTTTACTCACGAGCTTAACCACTTGATGAAGAACATGACTAATAATTCTTCACTCAGGTAGTAATACTGAATATTTTTTACCTCATAATTGGGTCGTTGGAGAATCAAGTACTACGACTAAACTTCGGGTAGTCTTCGATGTATAAGATGAAACGACTTCCGGACTATCATTTTACAATATCCAAATAATAGTTACTACTGTCCAGGATAATTAATTGTATTATGCAATGTACGTAGGTTCTTTTTATTTTATATATTATATTAATAAATGCCACCGTGAAATATGTTATTTCTTTATCTAGATAAATGTTATGTTTCTAATGATTGTTATTCAAGAAACAGCGACGAAAATGATGAATGACCTTAACTTTTTACACAAATATGCGTTCAATAAGTTTAAAAACACCTACATAACTTAAGTAAATTAATTAATTCAGTTTATTTTACTTGAGACGAGAAAAATAATGTAACAAATTTTGTGAGTTCGCATACTGACGCCGGCAATGATTATTATCAGTTTTCCTACATTCATTATCACTTTAATTATCTCACAGCCTTTACGCTGCTTCCTCTTTCCAGGCTGCGTATTTTACATTTAGTGTAAATAATATATTTTTTTATTTCGCATCTTACGAGAGACTCCCAAGTTTTCTATTATCTTTGCATAATCATAAAACAAGTTTGCTGATACTTTGGCCAAAA